TATATATATATAGTGCTTTTAGGCTGATGAGAGAGAGAGAGATACTTTGGACACCAGTGCAGGTGCTACAGTGTTTGGACAGTAAAGCAGAACAAGGGGATTAGTTCATACATATTGCTTCACGTAGGGAAGGCAGGCTGCACAGATTGAAAGTGAAGGTGATGATCATAAACAGAAGGACAGTGCCAAAAGAGAGAAACACACACCCTGGACTTTGGCTCTTAGACATTTCTGAAGTTAGCTCTCCCTCCCAGCTCGCCCGTCTCCCTCTGTCCCATGCCGCACCCCATACCTAACATGTTCACACAACTTCAACAAGTGCAGAAGGGACAGGAGTACTCAGTGGCTCGATGTGCAAGAGGGAAGATGGATTTTGACATCTGCTCAATTGAAATGCATGAAACCTCAGCAACAGAGCTGGAGGAACCTCCTGGCTACCTGGAAATCCAGCAGCCAAATTGATTAGTCGGAGTGTCTGGGAAAGATCCAGAAAGTTCCCAGTGATGTCTATTGAGGAGTAGCTGTGTTATCCTAGGATAGATTAGGAAGTGTGTTAGGACTACAGACACTCCTCTAGAAGGTGTGTGTGTGTGTGTGTGTGTGTGTGTGTGTGTGTGTGTGTGTGGGGGGGTGGGGGCAATGTGACTGTTTTCTTATCACACCCTAAATATGGTTATAACATGAAACATGGTGTAAAAGATAGACATGAGTTTTAGTTTGAAAAAAATAATAAATAAAACCAATGCAGCTACCGAATGTAAGGATTGGTAAGCTACAATATATTTTTTTATTGTTATTCTTAGGTTTAGATATACCCAGGAAAAAGCATACTGCATACCGTGATACATCATCTTCTTGTCCCGTTGCACTGGCCCAATAAGGTTCTTATGATTGCCTTTAGTAAATATGAACTTTATATTTAATATGACTTCTGTCTCTTCTTCTTGTAGCTCTGCTGCTGTACTCCATGGCCAGTCTAAAAGGATTGAGAATCTTCGCTATAATAATGATGATTGTGACTATGGCCCACACTGGCAGAATTTATTTTGAATATAAAGACCATTACATCCCGAAATTCCTAATTTACAAATACTTAGTACCTAATGGAATGTTTAGTTTGTCAGAAAAGGAAACCTCCGATCCTTTCAGTGCAAACACAATCCTAAGAAAAGGAAATGGAATCCTATTTGTGGAGACCACGGACAGAATGGAGCCACCGTCCCTGGTGTTGTGTGCTATTGAAGCAGCTGCCCGAGTCTACCCCGACAGACCGGTGGCCTTCTTCATGAAAGGACTGGAGGACATCATCACAGAAGAAGACGAGAAGAGAGCCAAAGAGCGATTTCCATCCCTGTCACCTTTTGGCAACGTTTACCTCTTCCCTCTCAGAATGGACCAATTGTTTAATAACACGCCGATTAAGTCTTGGTTTGATAAGGTACATTAGAGACTAAGTGGGGAACCATCGGGGAAGACGATTTTGGTGCTTGTAGATAGAAAGCTGGATAATATTACTGCTAAAAGGGCTCATCAATCTCATTAGTAGAAAATACAATGGCTTCTAGAGATGAGAGAAATAGAGAGTCTTCAGTTCTCTAAAGTTCTGTTGAAAATTGTGAGATTTTTGTAAAAATACATTTCAGTCAACGGGGAACAGTTGAATTTGGTTGAAGTTAGTGGTTTCTAAGGGCGCAATGGGCTTCAAAATAGCTCCTGAGGGTTATAGAAGCCTCTTTTTATGGTGTTTTTTTTTCCAAAGGAACACTAAGTAGAAAAACTTCCCAAAATCCATCAAATGAATCTCTAACTACAACAAAAACAGTAAACTAAAGCAGTTCAATGAGGGAACTGAGAATTTTCACATTGAAAAATATATTTACTCGTAATTACTGCCCTAGTGGCTCTGAAAATGATACTGATAGTCACCGCTCTCTGCAGGAAGACGATCGGGAAGTGACCTGTGATAGCTTTGTTGTGAATATCTGCACCTTAATAGACATATGATCGATAATACGAAATCACCTGCACTCCATGCAGCGTACAGACCTTGAGTAAGAGGTTGTTGCTTGAAGTGACAACACGGATGGCGCCGTGTCAGGTACAGTCCATAATAGAAGTCACCAGCACTCAATGATATGTGCAAGAAGTAAAGCACTTTTTATTCAATTGTCACATGCGTCAAACAGCCAACATGTACACCGCAATAGACCTGTGCACGGCAACAATTTGTGTTTCGGACGAAACAAATGAAAACTAAAAACATTTTCATTTGTTTCGTCAAAGGAAACAAATTACAATTTTGCTTCAGATTCAGAGGCAACGAGCCTCCGAATCCGAAACTACACAATAAACTGCAGAACGAGCGGCGGTTATACTGACCGCCGGCGCGTTCTGCGCTTGCTCTCCGCCATTTTGGAGTGCATCTTGGTGTATTCCAAAATATACTCCAAAATGGCAGCAGGTATGTGCAGAACGCGCTGGTGGCCTATGTGACCCACGGCTCGTTCAGCATATGACATCACCGTCATGTGACATCATGCGCTCCGCCTCCAAGATGGCAGTGAGCACGCGTAGAACGCGCCGGCGGCCAATATGGCCACCGTGTGTTTTGTAGACCAATTTATGTTTGCCCAAATATAGTTTTCGTATATTCAGGCTTATAATAAATTTGTTTTTTCAGATTCAGACGAACCGCCGAATCAGCTGAATTTTGTTGGTTTGCAGGTTCGTCTGAATCCGAATGCACATGTCTACCCCTTAATAGCATCTTCTCAAGGGAGAAAACATTCCATTCAGTTAATCTTCCCTCGTAGCTGAGATCCTCCATTCCCCTCGTTAGACATGTAAGCCGGCAAACAATGTGTTTTGTTTCGGATGTTTCGTTATTTCATTTATAGGGATTCGGGATCGAAAGCCAATTCGGACAAATCCAAAATATTTGTTAATTTCGGATGCAGTAGTATTTACAAATGAATATGGAATGGGAATGTTAAGGGGCCCCCCAATGCCAAAAAAAGCATGGAGTTCCTTCAGAAGTCATACCAGACCCTTTAGGTCTGGAAGGATTTTTGGGGGGGAACCTCAATGTAAAAAAAAAAAGTGGCCTGGCAGAGCAGGAAATTGGGGGGCGGGGGTTTGAGGAGAAGAGGCCCTTGTCCTCATCGACATGGGGACAAGATGCTTTTCCAGGCGACTCCCCCTAAAATTCCTGCCAGACCTAAAGGGTCTGGTATGACTTTTGAGGGGAACCTCAAGGGATACCCCTTTTATTTCTTTGGCGTTAAGGTCCCCCCTAACATTCCTACCAGACCTAAAGGGTCTGGTATAAATTAGAGAGGGAACCCGCTTGCTTTGTATGGGGCAAGATGATGTCTCTGTCTTTGGTGTCTATACCTCTATTTATACAAGAAAGTATCTTGCTTGCTCTTTCTATCTAGCAGGTTCATAATAATGCTACACCTGCCCCTAAAAGGGTTAATTGATATATTATTTGGAATGTGAAGAAATGTTCTTATGTTTTGGTCTCATGCTATGTTGTACTTTTCTTGATTACCAGGTAGACCCTAAAAAAGAAATCTACTGGATCCATGTTCTCTCAGATGCCTGTAGGTTTTCCTTGGTGTGGAAATACGGCGGCATTTACATGGACACGGATGTCATCTCACTCCGTCCAATACCCAAGGACCATTTTCTAGCAACTGAGGCTTTCACACATTCTAGTAGCGGTGTTTTTGGCCTCTCCTCACATTACCAGTTGGCGTGGCAATTTATGGAGAACTTCGTTGAGAACTACAGAGGGGAAATATGGGGACACCAAGGGCCCGGGGTTGTTTCACGTGTTGTAAAAAAATTGTGCGGCTTGCCAGTTTTTAACTCTACGGATGATGTCATGTGTTCAAACATAAGTTATTTTCACCCTCAACGTTTCTACCCCATCCCGTATCCTGCGTGGAGACAATACTATGAAGTCTGGCAGAATTTGCCAAATTTTAATAACTCCTATGCCGTACATCTTTGGAATTTCATGAATAAAAAAGGTATATCTATGGTACCTGGAAGCAACACATTGGTGGAACATATCTACCAAAAATACTGCCCTACCACCTATGAATATGTCTTGGGAAAACTCACCTAAGGAGAAACTTTACATTTATCATTAAACAACAATAGGCCCCTCTAGAAAAGTTTAGTAATGATCATCTACAAACAGATATTTATAGACAATTGCAGGTTATCTATTATTTGCATGCCTTAGTTTTCTTTTCCTCCTCATTCCTCTCAAAGTGGCTATTTTTACTAAGGCCCGATGAATCCATCTCCCGTTACTTCCTGGAACTCTGGCACATGTGACTTGGACATGTACCATGCACATCATCTGAGGGGCAAAAATTTCCTTTCCCTGAGATCTTGCAGGTTACAAATGAGATTTCCCAGCAATGCGCTGCTGATGTAACCTTCCCGACATGCAGCTCGTAGACATGGGCTACATCACTGATGCCTAAGAGGAACAGGAAGTAGAAAAACAGTAATTGTAAGTAAAATAAAAATATGGTTACTTAACTAATGAATGTATGATGGTGTCATATCAGCATGCCGAGCTGATTTTTAGTGAAAGGGGGTAAAGGTCGACTTTAAAAACACAGATTATGTGGCTCATTTAAAGCAGAACCCTCCTATCCTGTACATCCAAGAAAAGTGCCATCTTAGTCTGTTTTTGGATTGAAGTTGCTATAGTGCTACACATGTGATAAGCTATGACACCATCCATTTGAGAACATTCAGTTTAGAGCTGAAATAACCTCACTGGAAACCTTGGCAGTTAGCATGCCTTAAAGGTAACTGTATTGGGTTAATCAACTGGGTTGAGTCCACTCTTGATTCGCCAAAAGTCCTGACCAGAATCCCATTTAGAATGCTTCAGTGGGTGCTGGGAAGCTCATTGGATGGCACCACACAGATGAACGTGTAGAAGAATAAGCCACCAGCACTGAGGTCCATTTTATCTTACTATCTTTATTGAGGTCAGGTAAACATGGTATCACATAGAGACGGAACGTTTTTGAACCTTATGTGGTCCCTTCATCGGGCAAAGAAAAGGATGGCTCCATCGCACTTTTCTTTGCCATTCAGAGCGATCCAATATATCAACTGTCCAATATTCTCCAGTGCAGTTTGTGTAAAAGATCTCCTTTATTCCACTTTCCAACCACTTCCAGTTTATTGTGCACCTCTGTGCTTCCAACTGTGCATCACCCTCAATTGAAAAGCTCCTCACCTCCTTAGGTGAAACGTATTTATTATAGATCATGCCAAATTCGCCTGTATTATTCATGGAAAACTCAATGTTTTCCTTATTTCCTCCATGGCAATGTAGAGATGATAAAGCGTATGATTCAGTTAAAGATAATAAGAGTAGACCATAGAGCAACCCATAAAATCCAATATTTTATTTAAAAAAACATATTTAAAAACTTACATTTAATAGTGCAAAACCAATGATGTCATTATGCTGGGTGAGACATGAAAATGGTAGTACTAGTGTCCCCAGCGGGCTCTCAGGACAGGAAAAGATAAGTGATTGGATTTGTAGGCCTATTATTGTGTGCACGGGATAGTGCTCTATTAAATGTAAGTTTTTGTAAGTATGTTTTAATAAAACATTGAGTTTATTGGTTGCACTATGGTCTACTCTTATTTTGTGTTTTAGCTGAATCATACACTATATTGTCGCTACTTTGCAATGCTTCTCCTATTCCCTATTGCCATCATTTTGTCTGGAAGTGAGGGTGGTATTTATTCTCTGACTCTCTGTATTAGTTCAGCAATTGTTCTGTTGTGAAGAACCTTTGATGACTATGTGATCAACTGAGACGAGGTAAAACCCCTTTTATTTATTTATTGATGTCTGGCCCTCAAAAGTTCCCTCAGTTTCTGTCTTGGAGTCACCCTGCGTGCCAATGTTTGAGATGGGATCACCAGGACAGAAAGAGAGTGGAAATCTTCACAACGGGGACTAATTCTTCTCAACGTTATGAAAAAATCTCATCCTGCCTTTTTTCCTTTTCATCACTGCTGGATTAAAGTGGCACACAGACATCTCTTCTTGTTTCTGAACTTTAACCCAACTTTAAATACTACTTGACAAAAAGACAGTAAACTTCTTGCCTGAACAATAGGGACGTAGGTGCTCCTTAGTCAGTGCAACCCTTGCATTCTAAGCATTGGTCTCAATAAAGATTCTCAAAGCAGAGCTAACTCTAAGGGGGAAATGGTCCTCATCTTATGTTCTCCACAAGAGAGGAGGAACAACAGTTTTCTGGAGTAAGATTTCCACCAATCACAGAACAGGACCTTAGTTACACGCTACGGTGGGAGGAATGGGCCATAAAGCTGTAAACACTGCTTACAACCTGACTCTCTTATTGAATACATTGATTTACTGTGAAAGAATTGTGCAGATGCAACTGGATTTGATAGCTGAGGTGTCTATCATTTTGTAATAACCCTTTTTCAATAAAAGTATTGAAAATAAAAATTGATATTTAATTTTGGGCTGGCTCTTGTATGTTGTATCTTGTGGTATTTCTTTTACCTTTTAGATACTCTAAAGGCAAGCTCAGCCTGCAGGATTTTCCTCTATGCCCCTTCCCAAGTGGCCAAAACCAAGATATTGCTCTCTCTCACTGTCTCTCTCTCGGCTGGCCTACTCAATAATTTTTTTATCCTACTATGTGGGGAAATAATTGGGGAACCATGACATTACCAATTGGCTTTGTAGAGTCCTGTAAGTAATGATTTCAATGTTAGGGCCATGTTTAGTGTCAGAGGTAGTTTAGAGGACAGAGGCATAAGTGTTGACATTTTTATTTGTATTTGCTTTTTGTGCTGAGGAGCGTTTTAGGTATTCAACACAAAAGAAATTGTTGATGGATATGGGCTCCTATTGGGAATAAAATCTGATATTATTGTCCAGTCACAAAAACAACCCATTTTAGTGAACCTCTCAAGGGGTGCCAGTTTGGAGTTTGACCCAAACTGTTGTATATGCCTGCAAGATATCATCAGCCAAGTCTTCTGGATCAAGTTAAAGCAACCTTTTATTAAACATTGTAAAACATATCTTAAAAACAGTACAAAAAGCACACTCGTGCCTTGGCAAGAGACCTGGAAGAAGACATGATAGCTGTGTAGAGTAGTCTCTGTAATGCTGACGAGTCTCGGACAGGATTCTGACACTGGAGGGTAAGCTCCAGGAAACCCATAGTCGATGGAAGCTGAGGTCCCAGATGACAGACTGGGACAAAGTCAGGAACACACTACATACTGCTACTAGTCATTTTGCCACTTTATAGATCATTGGTTCGACCTCATCTGGAGTACGCGGTCCAGTTCTGGTCAACAGTACTAAGAAAAGATGTCCTTGAGTTGGAAAAAGTCCAGCGGAGGGCAACCAAATTTCAATCATAAAAACACCAAAAAGTTGCTGCCAGGAATCTGGGGGGCTGCAAAAAACTACAATTCATATTCAGTTATCAGCGTTAGGTGAGTCTGGCTGGCAATCACAGTTTGTATGAAGGTGAAACAATTGACTCCAGAGACTCCACCCTGCAAGTACTCAACGATACCAATTACCGATACCTTTATTTTGGTGTCATGTGCCAGTTTTTCTAAAACAATGCAGACTAATGATTTTAGGACAGTAGTAAAATGCTGGGTCCAGTAGCAGCTGCAACCGCTGTGACTCTGGTAGTTCTGCCACCGACTCCAAACTGTAAAGGAACTACAAATTCCAGCAATACATTATACAGCAATGCAGGAAGGCAACGGCTATAGAGGACTACAAATCCCAGCAATCTATTATACAGCAATGTAGAATACCACCAACTATAGAGGGACTACAAATCCCAGCAATCCATTATTTGGCAATGCAGAATACCAACAGTGATAGAGGCCTAAAAATCCCAGAAATCTATTATACAGCAATGCAGAATAATATGAAGCTACATACTGTGTGTTGCTCACCAGGGCTGTTCGGCATCTCAGGAGACTATGTGAAGTCTGACCAGGGCTGTGCGTGGTCTCACCAGGGCTGTGCAGGGACTCAGGGGGGTGTATGGGGTCTTACCAGGGCTGCGCAGGTCACATCAGGGCTGTACAGTCGTCACCAGGGCTGTGTGGTCTTAGGAAGATGTGAGGGGTCTCACCAGGGTTGTGTGCATTCTCACCAGGGCTGCATGCATTCTCACCAGGGCTGTGTGTAGTCTTACCAGGGCTGCATGCATTCTCATTAGGGCTGTGTGTGGTCTCAACAGGTCTGTGCGGTCATACAGGGCTATGTGCGGTCTCACCAGGGCTGTGCAGTCTCATCAGGGCTGCATGCAGTGTCTCACTAGGGCTGAGCTCGGGTCTAACTGGGGTTGCATGCGGCGTCTCACCAGGACTGCATTCGAGTCTCACCAGGGCTGTGTTCGGGTCTCACCAGGGCTGCATGTGGATCTCACCAGAGCTGTTTGCAATTCTCACCAGGGCTGCGATTGAGTCTCACCAAGGCTGGATGTGGGTCCCACCAGGGCTGTATGGGTGGTTATGGGGCTCTGGAGTGCTGTACGAGTGGGTATGGGGCTCTCCTGGGCTGTGCTGGTCTCTGCAGATGTGCACCGCACTGGCACTGTCTTTGCCATCACATACTCCTGCGCTAGAGCACGTGACGGTTAACGTGTCTCCGCAGCTGAGCTCCATCTTCCTATTCAAATAGATTATTATACAGGAGCCTCTTCAGTGTTAATACCTTCTGATGGGAATGGGGCTTGCCCTTGTCTGGCTGAAGGGCTGGAAGCACAGAGGCCCTGGCGGTGCCAGAAAATCACTATGGGTTTGGGATCCCACTGTGATTCACCGTCACTGGGTCACGGTACTCAAAGCTTTATTTCTGCACTACGCTTCTTAGGCAGACCTTTTGGCTAGCTCAGAGCAACTTTTTATCTTGGTGGGAAGGCCTGTCATGTCTTACACTGGCAATTATTTATTTTAAGCACTTTTATGTGCACAATTGAGCACTTAGACCCCAAAGAATGATAGAGGGTGTGGGTACCTTTGGAGCCCATCCTAATGTAAGGGGAGAAGTTCTGTGGCCTC